GGGGGTGGGGGGGGGGGGGAGCCACCAAAGCAGGCGGCAGGGGGACTGGGACCGGCTGCAGGCACGACAGCCACGTTCCCCAGGTCCTACAGCTCTGTTTGCGACTCGCCTCACATTTGCCGAGCACCCTCCTGCTCCTGGCCCTCTGCTTCTGCCGGTGCTACAGAGGTGTCGTGATTGCGGGGAGACGCGGGACTCTGCAGCTTGGCTCATGTCACGCGTGCCTTTCCCTGCGCACAGGAAGGATTACTGGATGGTAATAAGCTCGTCAGTGTTTAAAGAATTGCTGGCCACATTCTCCACAGGTAGAGGCCAACACCTGCAGAATCCGACCCAGTTCCCTTCTGGGAGAACTGCAGCTCGGCCGCATCTAGTGACGTGAAATGTGTTTTGCAGGAGTGCTCAGAAAAGCGGATGCACGGGAGCATGTTCCCTACTTCTCCATTCATCTACTACTACGATGACGAATACGATATCAAGAAAAGAGCAAACAGGTTAAAAAGAAAGGTTGCAGGTACAGTGTATTTTGGGACATCCCTCCTGCCTTTTGGTTCTTTGAAATACCTTATTCTGTGCTTGCTGCCTTTAGAAATATTGTGGGATTATTTTCATGTGCTGGAAAAGCTAAGAGGGATTTGAACAGGTAGTCTAATGGTCGTAAAAGATTTGTGACTTTATTCATCCGTGTCTATCATGGAAATCTGTGGTGTCAAAGCCACTAGGTGGGTGTTGCCAGATGTTTTAATTCTAAACAATGCACTGACAATAAAAATGCTGTAAACTGGCAGGGAGAGGATTAAGCTGTAATTTGTTTAGATTCTAGTCTGTTGGCAGAAACAACCCACTAACTAACTCCATGCGTAAGGAAAGCTGTGGTGGCTCAGAAGCTGGGGTTTAGGTTTCCCGCGTGGGTGTTGCAATAAACTGTTTTGTTTTACAGAACTACACGAAGCCGGCCTTCTGCCCGAACAGCCAGAAACACCGTGGCAGGAAGAAAAACACGGGGGGCACAGCCATAAGAAGAAGAGCAAGCCCTGGAAAGAGCACGGGAGGCAGAACAAAGATGGGGAGAGTCACAAAAAGATGAAGATGTCCCGGGCAGAGAAACAGAGGGAAGAGAAACACAGAAGCGGTGTTGAAATTGGCTACAAGGTGGAGGAGGACTTCCCTCGAGGGTGCAAAAGGCAGGCGTCTAAGGGCAGCAAAGTCCGCCACAAGTCTGTCTTCCAGATGCTCTCGGGCAGCAAGGTTGCTTATGCGCAGGAGCCTCTGGAAGGGGCTAAAAGGAGGAAGAAATGGAAGAAGCAGAAAGACGCCAGCCCTGACATCAGTGAGAATTTATTCCTCATAAAGCAGAGGAGGAAGAAGTCCAAGCAGAAATCCTGGTGATGAGGACGTAGATAGGTAGCACAAGCATCTCCTGGCTCCGGCTCTGCCCTTTGTTTGTTTCTGTCCCTCTCGTAGCACACTGAATCTGGGTCCGTCCCTGAGCGCATGCGGGCAGGCCCAGGCGCCGGTCACACATCTATCGGCCGTCTCCGTCCCCACGGGGAGCGCGCTCTCTGTCGCGAACTTGGTGCCGGTGCCTGGCATGGCTGTACTTCCCAGCTGGCCCAGAATGGGCTGCAAGTTTATTTTCCTTGCTTGGGGGGGGGAGCGGGGGGAGAAGGGGCCATGCTGGGTTCGGTGGGTTTTGCTTCTTCACCAGTGAGATGTTGCTCTGCCTGTTGGAGCAGGGTCTGCTGCTGGGGAGCACGACGCCTTTGGAGCTGACGCTGGAGAGACTCTCACGTTAGGAGGAGCTGGGCTGGAGGCCAGGGACGTGGATGTAAAGCGTGTTCCCCGCAGCCGCTCAACCCGCTCCAGAGTGCAGCCGGGCACTGCTCCACTTCTGTCCCTCCTGGAAGGGGCTGCGAAGCTGCTGCCTCGCACTTTGGGACGTGACAGTCTCCCACCTTGCGCTCCAGCGTGGTGCTGTGGATCCATCACCCCCGGTGCCACGGCTTTCGACGCCGAGCACGGGCAAGCCCTGTGCCAGCCTGTTCCCTGTCTTTGCCAGTCGGCGTGGCAGGAGAAAGCAGCTGAGAAACGGAACAGAGTTTACGTCTTGCGTTAAGTATGTCCTTGTTCCCCTTGATGTGGAAGTTGTTTCTGGAGAAGAGAGAGCAGAGTATGAAAAATGTATCTGATTCCAGACATACTGTGCTAAATTTTAATAACTTTTTTAAATACAGTTATTTTTGTACACTGGAATTAAAGTGTGTTGTTAAAAGCTTTGTAAGAATAAAGGCTTCATCAAAGGAACCACCCAAATAAAACTTCATGAGGGATATAAAAAATGTAGGTTTGTTCTGTATTTTCTTGCATTACCAAGCGTAATTAAAAACAGGATCCGCTGCTCTATCCTGAGCTGACACTGCATCACCTCTGGCAAGAGATTTTCTAGTTTTGAAAAGGAAATTATCTATACTCTACCAATTTGTGACCTGCTCTGTACCATACCACTGCTTTTGCTAAGCAATGGATGGTAACTACCGTGAAGGTCCACGTCCTCCCTTAATTCCTACTAAGGAGCAGGCCTTTGGCTGTGGCTGTGTTTTAAAATTAAAAAGTATTTCTAACCCATGCTAATTCCTCTCCCCTGAGGAAAGGAAGTGGGAACACCAGAACGCATTTAGGACTGTCATTCTGCCAGGAGTATTGCATGCTGGTACCCCAGCTTTCTGCTTGGCAAGGGCACCAGTGAGAGCACCGGTATTTTGGTGACCGTACCACCCCATCTCAGGGTGCTTGGAGCAGACCTACACCTAGGTAACACTTGGGAACCTAATGCCCAGTTTTGCTTAAGTGCATCCTTGCTGGCAACTGGAATTGATTTTTGCTTAACTCCATTGATTACTTGATGGAAAAGTTCATGATGATGCTGAAGAAGTAAATCGCTTTCGGCCCTAACAAAAAAAAAGTCAATTCAGCTCCTGGAGAGTCTTGCCCCGAACACTGAAAGCCATCTTCTCCTGCATGCTGTGTTTTCCATCCCTTTTTGTTTATCAATACCTGGTTCTGTTTGAACAAAAGTCTCCAGTAGCCTGCAGCTGCACCAGCACGGAGGCTGGTAGATAGGGAAGGGGGTTGTTTAAATTAAGTCAAGGTCAACTTGAGGTCAACTCCAACTTTTCTGATGGATTCGTTTGGTCAAGTGGCCAGCTGAGTTGTCACGAGGTGAGTACATCTCCTCTCCAGAAGCTGCACCCTTCCTTAAAGAGCCACTGAGAGCTCAGAAGTCTGCATTCTTGCAGAGAGCTTTCAGATCCTCCATGCCTCTCGTTTACTGAAGGGCGTCAAGTGCCGGTAGTTTCCTGCTTCACTCCCCCAAAACTGAAGCAGCTGTGTTGTCAACGATGTCCAGGAGGCCAAGGAGAGAACTGTGATCTACAATAGCATCTAGCGAGAGATTGCTTTGAGCCGTCGTTCCGTTTGTGGTGGTGTATGGCTGCTGGGCGGTGTGCTGTAAAGAAATGAGACCGGCGCTCCTAGATGTGAAGGTCCCAAGAGCATTGCTCTGATGGCCACCAGCATAGCATGCTCTGGAGACTTCCCCTGAAGCTCCACCTCTGACTGCCCCCGTCCCGCCATTCTCATCCTCCTTGTCAAAGGAACCTGCAAGGAGATAAAAAGTGCAATTTACTCCTCCTCCAGGCATTACACAATGATTGCTTTATGTGATGATGCGTTATTTAGTGGCAGAGCCAATGTGACTTTGGTAGTGGGAAAATGATGCGTGCTGAAATCGCTCAACAGGAGAAAGTCTACCAGTGTCGGTATTGCCGTGCTGGCGAGGCTGCTGTAGGCTGATGCACCAGCTCGGGGGCAGCAGCGTGGCTCCCATGCAGAAGAGGTGCAGATGCCTTTTCATTGCCCGTGTGCAATGTCAAGTGGTGGCCAGATGTGGAGCGAGTCAGAGCTTTTCCTAACTCCTTCTCTAAGGGTAGGTGCCTGGGCACTGCCGCAGGAGGCAAGCCACCTGAGGGTCCCAAGTAGCTTCTCTGATGCCCAGTGGCTTCAGCCCGCAATATTTCACCTTGGATTCTTCTATGGAATTTTTCAAAACCAGTTACCTGCTGGTGAGCAGCAGCCTGCCTTGTCTTGGGAAGCCAGTGCTGGAAGGTCTAGGCAAGGCGTGTAACTTAGGCCAGTGCTTGGGTGAAACCCCAGGAGCCTGGCTGTAGACTCTGGCTTCCGCCTGTCACTGGCAGTGACTGTTGCAAGCACTGGGTGTGGTGGTGGTGGAAATGTCTCTGGCTTTCCCTCCGCGTGCTGCAGCCACCCAGTCCTGCAGATGCCTGACCTGGCTTTTGCTCTGAGAGATGCCTGGTGGTGGTGGTTGCAAGGCAGTGAGTAAAAGCACCAAGGAAGTGGGGCATTTGGGAGAGTGGGAAGAGAAAAAGATAAACCAGCAATGTTTGGAAGCACACGGGAGCTGGGTGAAGGAACTTCTTGTAGCAGCCTTGCAGGGGGAGGCCAGGATCTGTGTGGCTGGGGCGCAGTGTTGCAGTGCAGCTCCCAAGCTGAACGTGGGGCAGCGAAGCTGTGGTGAATGGAACAAGATGCTGCAGCAACATGTCCAAACGGGAGCATTGACCACAAGTCCACTTGGGTTGTGGCAGATTAAGACATCAGCTGAAATACTGACCTGTGTCAGGCTTTGCACAGCAAGACAGAGCCCACCAGAGAACCCAGAGAAGAATTGGCGGTCGGGATGATGCAGCTAGCAAGGAAAAGCTGACGTGAATGAGGCCGTTTTCTTCCAGAGAAAAGCAGCTGGCTAAATAAGGTGTGAAGGAAAATGGCTGTTCTTGATACGGGGTGAGCAGGACATTGAAGCACATGCCCACAGCATGGCAAGAAAGGTGTGGCTGGGACACCAAGAAAAAAGACCTTAAAATGGTGAGGATGAGAGGGACCACAGCAGCTCATCTGAGGCAGGCATGCGGTCTCCTGGCAGGTTTCAGGGAAGAGTTGAACAAACATCTGCCAGAGGTGGTTAACCGCGTGGGTGGGCTGCCGAGACCCCTTTCTTCGGTGGTCGCTCAGCAAACTGCTCCTGCCCTCCCGTCCCGTAAGCAGCAGCCGCCGGAGCTGCAGTTGGGCACAGAGAGGGCAAGCATGGCCCTGGCCCGGCATTGCTGGACGGGAGAGCAGGAGAACCAAGGCTCTTCCATCCCACCCACTGCGTGGGACTGCCCTGTCTTCAGCGATCGCACCCCAGTGCTCGAGGGCCTGAAACTAAGCACCCCATACCTTGCACCACCCCAGCTTCAACACCTTCCCTCAGATGGGGTGCTGGAGCCTTCCTGCAGCTGGGAGAAGTGAGGTGCAGCCCGACAGCAGAGGGATGTAGCCCTGCCCTGCAGCAGCGCCCTCGTTCGCAGACACATTTCCAGCCCCGGAGACGGAGTCCTGTGGCGCACACCCTGTCAGCCAACCTTTCCCCCCAGATCATTGAACTCCGCATGGACCAGTCTGGAAATGAGCTCCGCGTACCTGCCGGGGAACTGGAACCAAGTGCCCGGTCCGTGTGCCCATGCGCTGGGCTCCACTCACGGGTCTCAGGCCACGCGAAAGGGCTTGCGTCCGGCACCGGAAAAAACCCAGCCCCGCCCGGCCCCGCCAGTGAGGCTTCTGCCCAGCAGCTGACGGGTGTTAGGGAACTTCTCAGCTGAAGATGGTTTTGCGTTAGATGAGAAGGACAGGGTAAGGAAAAGGGCAAAAGGGGTGGATGCATTTTCTACAGCAAAAATACCACCACATTGGGTACTACTTACAGCCCTGCATTAAAATCCTGTCCTGGACAGGGTGACCTGCAGACTGAGTTACTTTCATCAAGCTCCATTTTCTCCTATTAAACCAAAATGTACATCAGCCTGTCATTCCTCCCACCTGCTTTTCCCCCCTCCTTTAAAGAACTGTCAGTCTTTACTCCAGAGATGCCTGGGACTGAAAAACATGCTTATCCCAGGAGAGGACAGTGCCTCGAGGTCACAGCTGATGTGCGCTGGCGGAGCAGCTTGAGGAAACCTACACTGCGTGAATAAATAAAGGGCCACGGCGCAGCCCAGGCTCGGCGTAGGAGACAAGCTGGATGGATCAAGAGGTCAGAGTCTTGTTTGGTAATGGGGGCAGTTGTCCCAGGAGTGAAGAGGGGAGAAGAGAGTATTTGGTCTATCATTTGTTGCAGCCACTACGCAGCAAGGTGAGGAAGGACGGAATGCTGTGATTTGAGGCGTACATCTTGGCAGCAGGGCAGCATGCGCTGGAAAGGAATTAAATGTCTCTGTAGCAGAGTGGAACGGAGTGCCGGCTCCTCCTCGAAGATTTCTTTTCCCTAAAGTCTGCCTAAAAATATCAATCTCTCTTGGCATGAGCTATTGTAGAATCTGCTGGGAAAGTCATTTAGCCAAGCGTGTCTGAGCCATGCAGCCACACTGTGCCGCGCTGCTGGGAGCAGTGACCAGCCTTTCAGACGCCGAGAGCTGCCCGCACACCCCCACGCAGCTGGTGATGCCCGGGGCTCTGCGGCTGCGTCCCAGCCTGGAACCCTCACGCAGAGCCCCAAAGGAGAGCTCTGAAACCTGCGGCAGAAAGGTGATCGGCTCCCGCGTCGCCAACACTGCGTGGGTCTCCAGCTGGATCATCAGGAAAGCACCGGGCATGAGCAGCATCCTGCTGATGGCAGCATCAAAATCCTGGGCTCCCCCCCTCAGATGACGCTGGTCGGGGTGCGGGGTCCCGTGCTGCCTCCCCCGGGCTGGCCCTGTTCCGCCGGTGGCGGTGCGAGGCAGTCTGCCTTGGACACTGCACCTGAGCTCCCCGGTATCGGGGGCCATGGTACGGAGCCGTGCCCCCGTCTGGCCCAGGCAGCAGCTGCGGTGGGGGCCGGTGGGGTGGGGTGTCCTGGTGCTGAGGACGTACGGGATGGGGGACTGAGGAGGGAGTGATCATTGCCCCATTTTGTTGGTGTGGAGCCAAAGCGTGGACACAAATGCCTAAGGCCGGCTGCATGGCCAGGAGCCGAGCACAGGCATGGCCCCCATCACCCCCAAACCTGTCCTCCTCCCCTCTCGGGCAGGGAGCCGCAGTACGCTGCTGGCATGGCAGGCGTGGCAGGGCGCATGGCGCTTTCAGCCCTCGATGGTTGCCAAGAAGCGGTCTCT